AACTTTCGACCTCTCGACAACCAGAGGAAGAACCAATCAGACGCCAACGAGGTGAGATCGAAATTCCTGACGAAACCATGCACGACCCTGCGGTCGAAACGCCTGTTCCAGACTCCCCGTTTTCTTCCAATAGTGAAGAAAGCCCTGAATCAATGGTTCCAAGCCCGAGCCTGGCACAATCTGCTCCTGACACTGCATCATTGGACACAGATCAGTCGGAAAATGAAACTCCGAGTAACATGGAACCTGTGTATAATGCTGTTATCATCGAGAAGAATACCGAGACGACAGACTGTGTTCATGACGATGGCGCTCTTTGGTCAATGCCCGACCCTTGCGAAGCAGCGTGTGTGTCTTTTGAGTTTGAAATGCCAAAACAACAATTCCATAAGTTCCTCAAATCTCCCAAAGAGCACCTGCCAGAGGTCAATGCCGCAGCCCGCAAGTTTGGGAAAGAACTTGTTTACAGTGACTTGACACCCCAAGAGAGAGAGAGGTTCAAGCAAGCCAAGTTGAAGGAATTGAATTGTTGGTTGGATACTCAAACGGTAAGAACCATAGTTCGGGATAAAATTCACCCCTCCAGAGTTTTAGCCTCTAGATGGATACTGACTTGGAAGGAAGATGAAAATAGCGAAGATGGAAAGAAACCAAAAGCACGACTTGTGGTAAAAGGTTTTCAGGACCCCGACATTGGGGAATTAGCATCCGACAGTCCCACTCTCACCCGAGATGGTAGGATGTTATTACTCCAGACAGCTGCCAGCCACAAATGGTGTATTGAAAGCTTTGATATCACTACTGCCTTTCTACGAGGGAAATCCGATGATCGTCAACTAGCAATGGAACCCCCAAAGGAGTTGAGAGAACTGCTTGGAATGGAAAAACATCAGATCTGCCTACTAGAAGGAAATGCTTATGGACGGGTAGATGCCCCTTTGTTATTCTATCGCGAATTTCGGAAATGCTTAGAAGAAGTAGGTTTCACCGCACATCCCTTGGACAATTGTTTGTACTTGTTAAGAGACCCCAAAGATCCAAAGATCCTCAATGGGATAGTGGGTACTCATGTGGATGACGGTTTGGGGGCAGGTAACCACAAATTTAGCTATGCCCTACAACAACTTCAGAAAAAGCTTCCTTTCGGCTCACATGAAAAACGCAAATTCCGTTTCACAGGACTTGAAATAGAACAGTTGCCGGATTTTTCTATCAAAGTTAGCCAAGAAAAATATGTCCAAAGAATAACTCCCATAGACATCCCTAAACTCCGTAGAGCAGAAGTTGATAGCCCTATCACTCCACAGGAGTTAAATAAACTAAGGGGGATTTGCGGGAGCCTACAATACGCCGCAGTGCATTCCCGGCCCGATGTGGCCGCAAAAGTTGCGCACCTGCAGAAGGGTATTACCAAGGCGACCGTGCAAACTCTGCTAGATGCAAATCGAGTACTCAAAGAAACCCAAGAGTTTGCCAACACCTCTGTGATCGTACGTCCGATCCCCATGACGGAGCTCTGTTTCGCAAGCTTTGGTGATGCAAGCTTCGCTTCGGCCAAACAGATGTCAGCCCAGCAAGGGATTTTTATCATGGCATGCACACGGAAACTAGCAAACAATGAGACGACAGACTTCTCTCCAGTTGCATGGCATACCAAACAGATTGGTAGGGTGGTTCGTTCTACTTTGAGTGCCGAAGCATACGCTATGTCCAGTTCACTAGATAAGTTAACGTGGATTAGATGCATGTGGGGTTACATAAAGGATCCCTCTTTTGCTTGGCATAAACCTGAAAAGTCTCTTTGTGTAGAACCACCAGGGTTAATGATCACTGATTGTAAATCCTTATATGACTTAGTCACGAAGACTGCAGTGCCAAATTGCCAGGAGTGGCGTACCACCATAGAAGTCATGTTGCTGAAGGAACAATCAGCTAACCATACCCAATGCCGCTGGATCAGCACTGCTATCATGTTGGCAGACTGCCTAACGAAGTCCATGGACTCAACTTTCTTACGCACCGTTTTGCAGTTGGGAAGATTCAGAATCTACGATGAAGAAATGACCCTCAAACAGAACTCGAATCGAAAATATGGTGTCACATGGGTGAAACAATCGAACATAGAAAAGAGACCAGTGTGAGTTTTGTAACTTGCTGCTGCCGCATACACCTTCGATTGTTTCCTGTCAGGGGAAAGCACATTCATCATGTGCCTTTTGACTCGTGGCTCAAGGCCAATTTCAGCGAGATAGGGGAAAAATCTCGAGTGCCGCCATAGGATTGGTTGGAAGGTGAAGAGTGGACTCTTTTGGGATTTGGTTGGATAGATATACATTTTTGGTGTTGTGGACAACACTGTTGGAACGACTTTACTTTGGTTGAACATCAACTACTTTCTGGTGATCAAGGAGGACCTTGAACCATTCAGGTGGGAACTGTTATCAGTGGAGTTGTGATCTACGATCCAACGACATATATATATATATATATTACATCCATGGATAAATTATGACAATTCACTAACCTGAAACCAGGTTATTTTTTGATAGTTTCCCCTGCAAACCATCATTCCGGTGACGTCGCAGTGCGGTTGTTATAATTTATCCATATGTAATCATATATATATACATATTAACTTCGACATACTGTATATGTTGGTGTTAAGTGTACTGTATGTTGACATTTAGCATGAGATAGTAGAATGGGAAAATCTACTAAAGGTATTTCATATTAGGCAATACACACTGGATGTTGCATGCTAAATATCACATCTTACTGTGGATGTTAGATCTTGGATATCATATTTTGGATATATGAAGAACGATTAATATTGGCCTACACCTGGTGACAGGAGTGTGCTGCAGGAAGCGTTTGTTTGGACCGATGGCTCTGTGATTGACAATGACCACTTTTGGACGCGTACCTTGGGGCATGCTATTGTCGATGAGAACAGCTCAAAGGATTTTGCTGCAGCGTGCGTTGACCCTTGGGGGTGCACCGCCAAAGCTGAACTGCAGGCTGTGCTGTTTGCTGTCAAAATCTGCAAAAGCCATCTCACCATCACGACTAATCGTAACTCCATTCTTAAAGTGTGGCGGAAAATTGTCTTTGCTGGCGGTGTAGCTGAGACTCTTGCTTATGCCGACAATTGGCGTGACATTCACAGTTTGGCTCAACGTGATGGTGCAGTGCGTCTTCGTCTCCGGTGGACAAAAGCCCATTCTTGTGACAACCAAAATGTACTCAACATGAGCAAGGGCCAATGGTTGACCCACTTTTCTGACTCCCATGCCAAAGAGGCTGCACGGCGAGCGTATCCTTTTGAATTTGGCTATGTGTCTGCATTGTGGTTCCATTCGGTGTTGAGGCAGAAATGGTTGACACAGCTTTCCACAATGCTCAGCGACTTTACAATCGAAAATGGTGACAGCAATGATGGTTTGGAAGAGTGCGAGCCTGTTGTGTCTCGCCGAGACACATTGCGTGTTGCATTTCCACAATGGGATTGGGATGTTCTTCAATCCATCTATGTGTGGGCACCAGATCGTGTCACTGGCATTCCTGGAAAGTGGAAGTTTGATCAAGCAAGTTGGCACAGGACAGTTTCTTTCTTTTTTCAACTGAGATGGAGGACTGGAGATGATCAATCAGTGAGCAGCTTTGAGTTGGGCTACCTTTTTTGAGGGTTGGAATGCTGTGGCAACCACCCCTGGTCCAGGGTAGTCATTCCAGTAGCTTGTTGGCTGTTGTCAATTTCTTTTTGCGTGAGCAAAGGAAACATCACTGGACGAGAACATCACTGGACGATAACATCACTGGACGATAACTCACTGGAAGAATGATAAATATTGGATTTAAGTATTAGATATTAGACTCTGCTCTAGAGATAGAGACAGAGACAGACACAGCGACACAGACAGAGATAGAGATGCCATACCATACCATGCCATACCATACCAGTATAATGTCAAGTTCATATTAATAAGCACCCCCGAATTAATCAACACCCACATTCCAAAAAATGTTTGGCAATACTACTTTGGGTTGGTCCCTCCCTATTAAGAAACATGTGCGAACCCCTTATTGAACAGCACCCTGCGTGGAAATCCTAATTTTGCGGTAGTCAGATATAGTTATTTTTTTGGGGTTTTAATTGTTTGTTTGATTGTCTTTAACGGATGAAAAAAATTATGTTTTGAAACGATGTCCCATGCCCAATCTCACCATCTCACCCCATTGGGAGGGAGGCTGCCACTGAAAAGAGAAATCCTGGCCCATTGGTAGGCAGGTTGTTTATGTATGACAAGCCCTTGTTTTTCAATTGGGAGCGCGATTCTTACCTTCTTGGGGGGATATTAATACGCACTTGGCATTACATATTATGTATACATTAGATAGGGTAGGATAGGATAGGATAGGATAGATCAGATCAGATCAGATCAGATCAGATCAGATTTAGATAGGTAGGATAATAAGATAATATGAAAATATTATAATATGATAAAATGATAATTTGATAATATGATAAGAAGATAATACCATAATAAGATAATAAGATAATAAGATGATGATATAGTAAGATAATAGGATAATAAGGTTTTAAAAAATAATAAAATAGGTAGATAATACGATAGATAGATTATAAGATGGATAGATAATATGATAGATAGATAATACGATAGATTGTTAATACGATAGATAGGTAATAAGATAGATAGTTCATAAGATAGATAGATCATAAGATAGATAGTTAATAAGATAGATAGTTAATAAGATAGATAGTTAATAAGATAGATAGTTAATAAGATAGATAGTTAATCAGGTAGATAGATAGATAGATAGATCGATCGATAGATAGATCGATAGATAGATAGATAGATAGATCGATAGATAGATAGGTCAACTATGTATTTATACATATATATATATCCCCAGATAGAAAACTTCCACACCTGAAAATATTGGGGGCAATGTCATCTATTTCACATCGCCCTTCCCACCTGGCAGGCTCGATCTTCCTGGCTGGGCAAGGTGATGATCTCGGCCAAGAACCTCGGCTTTTTCTTTGAGCCCAAATGGGGGCGTGTGAATCCGAGATTTTCCGGACAAAAAAAAGTGAACAAACTAACTGAGCTTCAAAATGTTCTAGATCTCTGGATCTTTCTCAGCCCTGAAAATATTCACACTTGTTTCCCAACCAGAAATGTCATCAACATTCGAAAAACACATGTTGAAGCTCCCTGGAAATAAATTAAAGCCTACTTTGAGATTCACCATGCAAAAAGCAGGCCACAAAAATGCGGATCCACAAACTCTCACATGATGGGAATGGAGTAAATGATGGGAAAATATCTACAATAATGGGGAACTACATGGCCATGAAATCGCAAATTTGCAGGACATGCGCTAGAACCTGCCAGCTACACATCGCGGCCTCCTGAAAATTCCCCTCATTATGTCATTGGATTGGTTTTGTTGGGAAAATCTTAACCGGAAACCCATGGGTTTTTACCATCAAATTGTTTGGGCTTAAACCGGTTAAAATTTTCCCATCATCCAATTCTATGATTATGTGAAGGCCCTGCCAGATAGCCATTGACTGTGTGATCTACTGAGTCACGACTAGGAATACCAATGTCCTTCACATCAAGGGTAACTTTTTCTGGCACTCTGCCTGCAGGAAGCTGGCAGCGAACCCCAGAAGTTGAACGCAACATTTACCCACTGAGGGACAGCATCCAAAACCAGAACGAACGCTCCTCTGCCAGAGTTTGGGGGTCAGCTCCAACATCTCCGCTTTTGGGAGTTCCAGTCCGCCTGCTTCTCAAAAGAGCAGTGGCCAACCACCTCTGTGCTCGACAGTGGCCACAACCGAGTTCTGGCTGAGGCGAATTGACTGTACATGGCATTTCTCCAAGTCGAACCAACTAACGGGGCAGCAGTGGAAGCGAGGCAACGGATGTCAATTATGTGACAATACATCAAACATCATAAGATCAACACTTGATTCTCCGTCAATTGCCCTATTTTGTGGGATTGCTGTTAATATATATATATGATTATATATATATAGAGAGAGAGAGAGATAGATAGATAGAGAGAGAGAGAGACAGAGAAAGAGAGAGCAAGCGAGCGAGCAGTTACGAAAACATGGTCCAACACGTCAAAAATTGGTAGCTTCAAGGGATGTGAGAGTTCTTCAAGAGGCCTGACCCTTTCTGTGTGGAGCCAAGATTGCTGCCTCACGGGGAAAAGACACCCCTATCATTGGCACTGCGGTCGTAGCGCAACCGGCTCTGCGGTTCTCCGAACTGTTCAGAGCTGCCCCGCGATCACGGAATGTTCACGATGCGGTCCACCACGTCATAGATTTGTTTGGTTTTCCTGGGTCCGCCATCAGGCCACTGTGGCGTTACTAAAAAAAGCGTTACTAAAAAGAGCTACCCATCCAGATCCATTCAATTCTGAAGACCAAAACTGCCATTGCCATTGCGTGAAAACCGTGTCAGTTTCCCGATCGAAAATGACCCAATGACCCCCGAATCCCCATGGGATCTTCTCCCGATTCTCCCCATGAAGACTCCAAACGGCGTGCTACATCCCCGAATTTTCTGGACTCTCGGACACTGAACTTCATGGAATCCCAGAGAAAAGAATGATGATATAGTAACCCAAAAAAATAGACGAGTCATATCTTACTAAAATGGTGATTAATCACTTTTCGATCTTCTTGGGGATATATAACTAGAATACATAACAATCAGGATACTGATATAGAGGAATCCATCAATCTTGACGATCTTGAAACATGTACTGTAACATAGAGAAGACTTCACGGGGATGTATAATTTTAGTCATTTTAGTCAGTCATGTTGTTACTCCCCAGGAACAAGTTGTGTTCTTAAAGATGATTGAAGCTTTTCGGCAGGAACATTGGGGAAAATCTGAGGGAATGCTTGGAAGAACCGAAAATGCTACCATCTGGTTATGACTAACATAGCCATGGAAAATCACCATTTTTACTAGGTAAACCATCTATGAATGGGCCACATTTTCCATGGCTATGTTAAATAACCAGAGGGTACCCCCTAAAACATCCAATGTTCAGACCGTGCTGGAAGGCATCACGTTGGATGGCGCGCACCTCACAACGTGAGCACCGGTGTTCTGCCACGTGAAGCAGGCTTGACACAAAACCGTGAAAACATGGTTCCATTGTTTGGCGTACCAAGTTTTTACTCATACTACCCATATACTGAAATACAAATGGGTCAAGGACAGGTGGAATTTGGTGGGGCCTAACACAACGGCCATGTAGCATCTGGGTTGCATGAGCATGGCTTGCTTCCATCATCATCCCAACCCCCGAATCCCCGAATCCGGTTTCGCAAGGCACATCAACGCCTGGGATGTCCTTACACACTTGCTCCACGGTCCCAAAGAACTCCAAGAGCTCTTCTCCTTCCAAGATACCTCAGAAAGTTCCAACAGGCCGGATAACCCATCTTTAACTGGCGATTTTCCATACATAACTCGTGGTATACTGGGGTTATGGTTATTATCCACTTCCAAGCAGGAAGTTCCACCAAAACAACGAAACAACGACACGTGGCTCTGGTACACTTCGCACCCAAGGGACCGTTGCCATCCTCATCTGCCCGTGAGAAGGTTTCCAGCATTGCGGACACCAGCTGAATCTTGGATTGCGCAATCCTGGAGCTGAAGGAGCAGCGGAGCTAGTTGATATGGGTAAATCCCCAAGTTACATTGGTTGCTTATAGTAGGAAATCGTAGAATATGAACAACATATTAGTTTTGGTGCTGAAAAAAGAGGTTGCTGCAATCCGTGCTTACACTGATTCAATGCAAATAATTCACGAATCAAACAAACCTAATTGCCGCCACAATATGTTGTTGGCCTCGCTCCCTCCCTGGTTAGCACCACTCCCTCCCCGCAGGCTCTTTTAATTGGAAATACAATTCTTGGAGCAAATCTTTACAATTTTTGGTTTCACAAATGATTCATCAACCAGGGTTTACAAATTCCAAGTTGCACATACCCTCCAATGGTAATCGTAATTTTCGTAGAAAGATGAAATCGCATATTCGCTATTAGGATATCCTTGTGAGGTATTTTTAGAATCCTGTTTTCTACTAAAGTTAACACAAGATGTGACTTTGCAGGATTTTCGCTTGTGAAATTCCCCTTGAATCCTCCGGTCACCTTCCCCCAGGTCACCTTCCCCCTGTCTCCAAGAGTCTCGTGTTTCAGCATCTGTCGCGCCTGTTGGGCATTGCCCTCAAACCTGCGGATGTCAGATGGTCGCTGTAACTTGGCATGTGACGTCCAGAAGTTGGGATTCAACTCAAGACGTTGGTAGATCTGGTAGAATATCAAATTTTATTTTGATGATTGATGGGAAATGGGAGATGCTTTACCAACTTCATTCGCGGTGTCTGAGGATGTGATCCATAATGATGTGTCGAAAATGATGGCTACAGGATCTGGAGATCACGTTGAGATTCACGCAGCTGGTTTGTTGATCCCCGAAGTTTGTTGACCTTAAAAAAGGGAGAAATGGTGGAAAAAAACCATCTGTTTGCCTCCAAAAGGATCAAAAAAAATGATCTGATCTGTACATTGCAATTTATCCAGAACTTGATGATATCCATGATATCAAATGATATCCCACAAAGTATCCCAATGACTCAGAAATATGATCTACACCAACCATGAATCCCTTCAGACTAAAAATCCCCCAGCAGGGTTTATATCCTTTCAATTAGCCTAGCAACAACGGTGCAATTGTCATCCAAGTAGCAACCATCAACATGCATCGCCTGTAATCCTGGCTTAGAACCACCATCCAATTGGGTTCAATTACCAAAATATCCATAAACCCCGACTTCTCATACGCATCTGACCCCATCTGTACATCCATGTAAGAAAAAGGGAGAAAATGCCACGACAAGTACAAGTATCATTTTAAAAGGACCCTCAAGTTTTTTCGATTGAAATCATTTCAGGGTGATATCCCATGAAATCCCATACCCTCTGGCGATCAAACATGGCCGGTTGGGAAATCTTCTGTAAATGAAGGTGTTACTGAAACAATCAACTATAAACTATAAACTATAAATCCAAGATTTTCCATTGCCATGTTTGACTACCGGAGGCTCAATACAAATTCAAACTATTGTGCCTGGTCATTTTAGATTGTAAAAATGTGGTATGGTTACCCATCCCGTAATGGGAATCCAAACGTGCTGGGTATATAAATAACTAGATGAAGATGGATTGATGATCATTTTTCAAGAAGAGGGCAGCTCACCCAAGTTTTGACGGAATCCTGCGCGAGCGAAGTCGCAGCACCAACGCCCCTTCCCGGTTAAGGGGGGTACGAGGTGTCAGAAGGGTAGTCCGAGAATGAAAAGAGAGGGTGAACCATGAATCTGTACAACACGGATCAAGCCAAGCACAACTGCAAGCGGTTGACACACGGCCAAGGCAAGCACTCTGCAAAAAACGCGTGGTAAGCAAAGGAGGTCAACGACAAGCCAAGCAACCTCAAATTTGGGAATTTTTCATTGGTCTCAGGGCCACGTCAACATGACACGAGCAAAACACGCTGTAAGGACGACAACGGGCAAAGCCACATGTTGGGTCAAGCCACAAGTCAAGCTGGGAACACATTACCTGTCATTAGTTCATCTCTTCTCCACCGTTTTCACTCTTGAGCTTCTTTGGTGGATTGTCTTTGTTCTGTACGAGCCAGGAGCCACCAAGGTGCCACCAAAAGTCTTGTGGAAAGCTAACACGCATTCATGGTCAACATCCAAGGCAAGACAAGTGAAGATGGGAAACTAACCCTGGCAAGAATCTTGAGTCATGGCTCCACCCCGAGAAACCACCGCAGAAAAGTCCAATGACCTGGTGCAAGCCATCGGCACGACCTGTGCGACATTCTGGGGCCGGCATCACACCACCTCCATCAGAGGACACATCCAGCAGGCCAGCAAAGACAAATGCCTGAAGACAAATCACGGATTTG